GAAAGTTTTGTTCACAACCCGGCATCTTGTGAAAACTAAGGTGTACTATTTTTCTGAGATCAAGGATAGGTCGCTAATTTCAGCACTCCGAAACGCAGACTTCAAGCTCTTCCGGTTCTACACAAATGCGTATTGTGGTTTGCGTTGAGCATGGAGATTAAAATTTTTGAATTTTCGAGCCCTTAAAAGACTGGAATTTTTCCGCTCTCTTCACCACTAAAGCTTGCTTTTGATAAGCGTGATTCCAAACTTGGAAGAAATTCGTATTCATAAGAAAATTGCCAATAATCTGAGATTTACAGTATAAGTTTAATACTACTTAAAAGAGGGTATCCGACAGGAGGCCCGTCGCGCGGCAAGAAGGCAGAGTCAGCGGACGAGTCGCAGCGCGTGATGTGCGATGTAGGACGTACAATGGTACATTCTATTTACGCGAAATCACTACAGTACGCGCTGCAACTCGTCCGCTGACTCTGCCCTGTTGCTGCGCGACGGGCCTCCTGTCTGATACCCATTTGGAAGCTTTTACTACATAAAAAGCATGTCTGATTCTACTGCAGTATTATCTATGGACGAGGTGATTATTTTGGAAGAAAAAATGATAATGATCACTTTGGGTTACGTTACTATGATGTTAGGCCTTTCGGAAAGTTCTTACGGTTTTTGATACTGTTGTTTACGTGCCAAAGTTACGGAGGTAATAAAGACAGCACTTCAAATAATTTAAATAGAGGCATTGATCACGATTGTTGGCGGGCGGTGCGGTTCTGGTGACGTCATTGAGTGTCCATGGTGGCATTGGGAGGCGGTCCCAGCCCGCCCTTGGTGCGCTGAGAGGACAAGAGACGTCGTAGAAACGGTCCGTGTGCATCTAAGGCCGATGTCATAGTTTGCGAATCAAGCGCTGGATCCAAGCGCTGCGCTAGCGAATCGACATCGGCTCAAATCTTCTCTCCGCGCGAACGGACTTCCCGTCGGTTACCCGATTTCGAGGACTTCACTTAGCGTGATTGCTGAAAGGAACTGGTAGGTGGTACCGATCACAGCCCTCAGCACACAGGGCCTGATCCATCAGTGACGTCATCGAAACCGCTCCACCCTCAACCCATCGTGTTCACAGCCTACTGCATACAAAATGGTGAAAGAGGGGAACAGATCGTTAAACTGATTCAACATAGTGCATTTTAAATCGAGACGTTTGAAACTGCAAGAACTTTCTGAACAATCTGATAAAAAAAACATTATTTTGCGTCATATTGCGAAGAAAAATAATCACTCACATGATTTCCAACATGTTGGATATAATTGTGCAGCCGAAAGCAGTTATGTGCAGAACAAATATTAAACGAGTAATTCCCAGCAGGATGATCGACAGGACATGTTGAACATGCCAAAGCAAACACAGAGAAAACGCGACGATAGAAGAGTGATTGACTAAAATATCAAACCTGTCCTTACTTATAGGCACATTCCACGATTAGGTCATTGGACTAGATTCTTTCACAAATATGGTCGCTGGGTCCGCAAACGCAGAGGTAGGGTCACTTTCACAACTTAGAAGGCGTGGAAGGGGAAATTTGCAACCATAGACACATAAGCAATCCGCACACACCTACCGCCGTGGCACCTGCTGTCTCCCTCCTCGCTGTGCTATCTAGTCTCCCTCTGTCGTTCCTTTGCTTCGGTGCTTTCCGCCTCATAAACACCTCTTTATTTCCCAGACTCGCGCTAGCTTACAAAAAAAAACAGCCTTATTTAGTCCGAGTGCTCCTCTTCTTCTTCTTCCATTGGCAATCCAACCTGCACCTCTCTTTCATTTGCAGTCTCTGCTGAAGAAACTCACGCAGACAAGGAAAGGTAGTGGGTACCAGGGCGGGAAAACAGGCGAGAGATCATTGCAGACGATGGAGACGCTTACAACACCAGATGCGCAGCGGTGGGCAGTCCACTTTGCACCTCTACACTCATTTCGGATATTAGTTAGCCCCACGTGCCCTTGTCACGCACTTCCAAGTGGTGGATTTGTTACAAGCTCCAGGATTGCGGACCAACTGTATCCTTCTCATGAGATAGATGCTATATCTAGTGAGCTCGTGAAACTTGCATTTGAGGAGTCGAAGAGTTTCCTTAACTTACCCTTTATCAGGGCGTACAACAAGATTGTTGAAGAAGGTGACCGCCTTATCATCAGAGAGAATTTGTGTTTCAGTTTCACCGCTCCATTCAATAGTGAGGTTAATGGGAGCGATAGGCCAGCCAGAGATGACGATAAGGTGTGAGTCTCCGCGATCTTCCAGACGTGCACGAAGGGGCACTCGAACACGAAGCTGAAACGGAAATATCAAGGTTATGAAACGCAAATTTTTTTTCCTAAAGATCTATACAATTATCGTGCAATCTTTTTGTTCTGAGATACGCTGTTCTGACAACCTCCGTAATGGTGAAAATGGTGAAAAAATGCAAATGGAAAAGATAGCCGACCTTTTTTTGAACCACTCAGCTTAAAAGCAAATGGCGCACAACTAATGTGACCCTCTAGGAGAGAGATTGCCTGTGCTTGATGCAGGGTGAGCTATAGAGGCATCTTGATAAGATGAGGGGGCGGATTCGGAGACGTATTGGTGGGGTAGATGTAGTTTTGAGGAGAGCTTTTTCGAAGAATTGGTAGATTTTCAAGAAAACCACTCCCTTCCCCCTTCTCCCGTTTCCCCCACCCCACCCTACCCCCAGCCCGCCGGTTTAGTGAGTGCTAGAAAACGAGGTGGGGGGGGGGGTTACAGAGAGAAAGAGTAATGAAGGCAGGCAATGGCGGATGAAGTAGCCACCGCACAGTGATCAAAAATCGGATCACAAGCGAATATCGCCAACACCAAGCAAACTTCTATCCCTCCCGGCATGGTCTATGGGTCATTCAGCCAGCTGGCCACCAGGCTTTTCGGCTAGGATTTTACCAAGGATGAATTGGAAAACTCCATGATTTGCTCATCGATCATTTAGGAAGGCATATGCATGGACGAACACAAATCTAGAAAGGTGCCATGATGCCGGTGAATGGTAAAGGCAAGTCCCGGGATAAAATAGGTGTGGAAGAGCTTTACCAGTGAAGGTTGAGGTGGGGAGTGGTTTGAAAAAAAAAGAAAGCAAGAGAAACCCTTGATTACGCCCCGAATAAGGACCTCCTCTATTTCAGCCGCATTCCACCTTGGGATAGAGAAGGGGCGTGTTGGACGAGTTTCACGAACCTAGCTCCAGTTGCTCCAGTGCCAATGACATTGAACCGCAATGCAACCGCTGCCGCAACTGCGCCCGCGCTTTTCAAGCAGCGTCACGTGACAGCGGAAGGCGGGGCTTGCGGACGAAGGTGTGATTGCGGGTCGGACGAGCTCCTTGCGCCTTTGTCGCGCACTTTCAAGCCGCAAAAGGGGCGCGACATCAACGCTTGTCCGCCTGTCTACTACGCTCGGGTATGGAACAGGTGAGCGTGCCTAATCCCGGACCGTGCCTTTAAATGCATTACACATGGCAAATGCAACTTGGGGGATAAATTGAAATTGGCAGCAAACCATTTATCTTTTTTTGCGACCATGCTTCAAAGCCTGACCACATCTTTGCCAGTTTGTTTTGAACGTTAACATAGAATGACGGACTATGATGAGTGACTCTCAAAGGGTAAGGCATAAATCTAACATGCAACAGTGTGAGCTCGGCATTTCTGAAAATTAATGGTGCCACAAGCCCTTCCCTAACATCATATTCCCTCCTCCAGCATCCTTCCCCTGAATTATATCTAATTTCAAACACCGTCGAGTAGAAAGTGTGCAGTTTATATAAAGCACTCACAGGCGGAGTTTTCGAGAAAAAGCAGCTCGTTAGAAATCAATGTAAAGGGGGTCATTGGGGTGGGATGAAGAAGAAACTAGGGTAACCGCCCAGAATCCAAGGGATGAAACCCTTCTTTGACTTTAGTTTTCGCTTTGATGCAACTTTCATCGGTATGCCCTCTTGGTGTCTGCGAGATTTGATCCGGGTTATAACCATGGCCAACTAACCGTTCGTTATGTCGACCCAAAACCCCACCGCCTCGGAAGAGTATCCCCCACGAGCCAGAATTCGATTTCGAATTGATACACTCCATTTCATCCCAAACTACCTTAAAGTGCCACCGAACTGGGAG